AATAATGACATTTATGGTCCACATTTCCTGGCACCAGTTACAGAAGTATCTCACAGCTTCTTATGAGTAACACCAGGCAGAAGCATTAATCAAGCTTGCCATGGAGTAGAGGGAGCCAATAAGGTCTAACACATCATTCATTGCTACATAGTGTTATTGGTACACAGAAGTTATGCAAATCACAAGAATTATGATTACACTCATGCTGTGTTATTCAATGCTATGACTACTAAGAAAAGGGAGTAAGTGGGGAGTCGTTTCTCTCAGTTAATTGGGCCCAGTCTGTAGGGAAGTTAGGGACTCTTTGAAGTTATTTACTGAGAGCACATAGGAGATAAGGCAGAATGTGCTTCTTTTTTAACTCTCAGGAATGTGGGTAAGTGCAGGCCTACTCGGACACTCACCATGCCCTGCTCTTGGTCTATAGCAGACGATAGCAGGTCTCCATATCACTACATAATGAAAAATCCAATCTTTTACCTAAATGCCCTAGGCACAAATCTTTTCATTTAACTGTGCCTCTCACCAGCATGGTTCTCTTCTTCTAAATAAACAGGTTCGATGTCAATTTTAAGATGTATCCCTAAGATGCCGGGCTCAGTGGCTCAGCCTGTCATCCCGCGCCTTTGGGAGGCTGAGGTGAGTGGATGGCCTGAGCCCGCGGGTTCGAGACCCGCCTGGGCAGCGAGACCTCATCTCTACAATCAATCAAAAAATCAGCCGGGCGTGGCAACGCATGCCTGTAATTCCGGCTACTCGGAAGGCTGAGGCGGAAGGATCGCCGGAGCCCAGCAGGTCGAGGCTGCAGTGGCCGGGAGTGGCCACTGCACTCCAGTCTGGGCGACAGAGTGAGACTCCGACTCAAAAAAAAAAAAAAATGTATCCCTGGAAATGCATTTTATGATATGTTATATATGATCGATTGCTTTCCTTGCTAAGGAGAATGGAGAACGTAACCAGGGTGATCAGGGCTTGAAACTCATGCTGGCTTCCCTTGCATTCCCAAGTCATAGCCACTGAGGCCAGAGTAGCCACTCTTGGTTTTGGTGACATAAATGCACATATGGAGGTGGGCTCTCCTGCTTGCAATTTCACCGTCTGTTGCTGTTTGTGACAAAACTTGTTGTGTCTAGTTGTTAAGTTGTCTGGCTGTGAACTCTTGACCTTTCTTCTTGAGAGCGACAATGCACCTTCTTGTGCTACAGAGGCCTGGGAGCAGTGCAGAGTATAAAATAAATGACAATTTTTGCTCCAAGTTTTGAGTGTCAAATCCTGACTTTACAGAAGCAGTGAAATGCTGTTCAGCTAATAGTAAGGAAATAACTCCATGCATTGGACAATAATCTTTCTTCTGAACCCTGAGATGATAGAATAATGTAGAAGTTGAGAGTTTACTATAAGTGTTTCCAAAACGTTAAATTAAAAAAGTTTTCTTCAACTAAGTGTTCCAGTGAATGCTAAGTTAATTAAATATAGGATCCCACCAATTTAAATCCAAAATCCGCATCACAAAATTTGTATTTTCCTATATTTTGGAGGTTCTTGTACTCAGAGAATGCAATCATACTGGTATTATCATACAGTATAATATGATTACATGTGAGCTAACTGGCAATTTGAAACATTCCATATTTTACTGACTTTTTAAAAAACCTACACCATCTTTTCCACCAAACTATTAATAATTAACTAAACATTGCTTCATGATAAAAATTATTCAAAAGGTATTTTTTTCTAGTGATATATGCTGTCAAGCAGATGCTGCAATTGGTGGTTAAAAGTTCGTATGGCCCACAGAAGGGGGAGCAACTCTGGCACTTGTAGTGGAATAACTGGGGCTCTGGAAGGAAGGCAGAGAGCTTCTTATAGCCCTAAACCCACGTCCTGTTCTAAGCTGACAGTCTGGGCCCTGATCTAACCTAACTATGTGTGCCTCTTATGACCACTTAATTGATATCAAGCTCTAACTATCAGTCTCACACAGCAACAAGCATATTCAGCATGACTCTGTGGTCAGATCTGAGTGACCCAGCTATACCACGTATACAGCTGTATAAGCTCAGGCATGCTCCTTAACCTCTCTAAACCTCGGCTTCCTATTCTCCAAACAGCCGTCAATAATAAAAGCATGTATCTCATGTGGTTGCCCTGAGGATTAAATGAGCATATAGCAAGTTGCAAGTTCCAGACAGTGCTTGACATCTTTTGTCTTCAGAATAAGCATGAATTTTTATTATCATTGTCATTTAATTATCTTTATTCATTTATCGTGCTGGAACCAAAGGTGTTGTTTCCCTAGAATCCTTTGGGGTTCAGCTCTGTCCTATTTATAGTTTATCCATTGCTCTGTACCTGAAATACAATTCTATATCTAGCATTACCACCTTTCTTCCATGAAATGAAGTCATTCAGCTTGGAACCTTCAGTGGGAATCTTTTTATGAACAACCTGGTAAGGTTTGTAGGCATGGCACACCCAATCGTTGAAATGTTGCAGGAGATATGAATTGTAGCCTCAGACTTCCTGTCATTATCAATGACCATGGGAGAGTCATATAATCAGCGTGAATCTTTCCTAAAAATTGAAGTGAGGACAGAGGTCTAAAGCTCTCTCAAGGGCTTTTTTACTTTCTTAAGTACTACAAACTTTGCTTTTCCTTTTCTTTTTGGAGATAAATGATGGGAAGTGTCATTGCTAGATGGCAGAGGCGCTCCTGATGTCATGCTTATATTTTAGGTATGAGTCCAGAAAAGGTTCCACAAGAAATATAGAAGGTGAGCAAAAAAGGCTATTCCAGGTGAAGCAAATAGCCTACACCAAGACCCTGTGCAAAAGTACACTTTTTGCAGAAGACTGGAAGAAGGAGACTGTAGCGAGGGCACAGAAAGAATGCTGAAGACAAAAGGAAAAGTGTATAGCAAAGCGGCGTGCAAAAAACTTTGAATAACTACAGAAAATGACTGTGCTACTAACCTCAAAAGATGTGCTCATTTGAGCTGGCAATCTAATTTTAGTTTGAGAAATATTAATAAATCATTCCAGAAAAGGAAAAATGCATATTTGATGTTCAGAATATATTGACCCCATGAACTATTGAGACCAGGGAGTAGGAACTGACTATCACCCAGGGCTTAGATGGTATTTTAACTTTTTAAAATGTATTATGCAAATGTTTTTTAAATGAGTGACTTCAAGAGGTCTTCTAAGAAACAAAAGTTCTATTTCATAGTCCAGAATTCTTCTGAAAAGTTTTATGGATCAAATGCAAAGATCTACAAGCATAATCCACAGGCAGGCCAAAAATGGTTTGGCCAACTCACCTCCTGAATCAAAGGGGAGTCCATGCCCTGAACAGAGGTAGAAAAGCATCTCATAGGCATTTTAATAACTTGTACAGAGCTAGGCAAGATGTTTTTATAGATAGCTCTTTTTAAGACAAACTAAAGGCAACGTGACACAGAATATCTAAGGAATAGGAAAAAATGCTATTTATATTTAGTTAGCCAAGTCTGAACTAAAACTGGTGAAGAGTAAACCTGATATCCTCTCACAAAAAAGAAAACAAAAGCCACAAACTAGTTTTAACAGGGCTGGCTCAAATCTTGGCAATGCTGTGTCTTGAGGAAGTCACAGAACAATTTAGCTACAGTTTCTTTTTCTGCAAAATGGAGATAATAGTGCCAACTTAATGGAACTGTGTAAGGTTTAAATAAGCAAATACACATAATATCTAATACATAGAAATCTCCCAGTAATTGCTGTTATTAATTTGAGGTGCCAGACAATTTCTCAGTGGAAGGTACAAGTAAGGCAATTCTTCTTATAAATATTGACTGAAAATCTCCAACAGAAACTACTGTGTGTCCATATTAATTTGTACTCAAAAAGACAAAACCACATATTCTATTTTTTCAGTTGTCTGGTTCAAAACAAGCCAGGGCAGCATTTAACTTGGAAGCTGTCAAGAACACCACCTGTCTGGTTTTCTTACAGCTGTCAGAAGCAAATTTTAGATCCACCTCCTAAGTTCTTACCTCAACTAGAACCAGACTATGTCCGTATTCAAAATACTTTATTTTTAAAAGGTTCCTTTATAAGAAATATGTGTGTGTGCGTGTGTGTGTGTGTGTGTGTGTGTGTGTGTGTGTGTGTGTATGCACGCAGGTGCGTGTGTGTGTGTGGGGGGAAGTGTGTATCTATCTACACTTGCTTCATGGTCAGATAATAAAAATTACATATTTTGGTTATAGCACACAGTTTTCAGGAAAAGCACTGAAACAGACAACATTTCTTTTAATGTAAAAGTAGAATTCACCGTTTAGAGGAAAAAGAGAAATGAATTTATAAAAAGAATCAGAATTCTAACATTTAATGGCTGTATTTTTTTAAATCATATTGATCCACACTGGGTTTATGGAATGCCAAACTTTGTCTGAATACCCATCAATACTAAAGTAAATATAAATTTTGCAGGAGTGCTTATATCTGAAATTGTATATAAAGCATATGAATGCATGTGTTTCTACATTCCAGCTCAAAAGGAAAAACAAGTGTAATATTTCTATTTTATAACATTATAAAGCAGAAATGCTCAAAATTATTTCTTAAGTTTAAGCATTGCACATAATATTTTAAGCTTATCATGGTATCCATCCTTGCGAGCCTTGTAATTTTCACTAGATAAGATATCGACCATCATGTTGCATGACCAGAGCTATTTATAGAGGTGTGGGTGACAACTGCAAACGAGTAGGGCCTCTGGTAAAGCAGAGAACGGTTTCCACATGCAAAATTTCAGCAAAATCTTTTCTTACTCCCACAACATACAGACCTGGCAGGCTCTCAGCTCCCACTTCCTCTTCTCTGAAGCTGCATTGAATCATGGAACAAGACAATTGCCTTAAAGCAACACTTTAAATGGACACACTGGCAGTCAACGTGGCTGCCGGATTATGCGTTTTTTTCCCCTTCCTGATACTATTGGAAAATGATAGCAATACCTTCAGCCGTGATCTCGGTCATGGTTGGTCGTAGCAAGTGAAAGTCAGGTGAAAAGTTCCTGTCCAGTAGCACTTTTCAGAATACTTTAGGGTTCGAGAACTCTGGTAGAGGGTTCTGTGTTAAAACGTGAGGGCTCTTCGTTTTCCTGGCTGTTTCTGCTGCTTCTTTGTTGTCCTGGTGAACCTTGCCTCTTCTCTGCAGAGTTCTCCCCCTGGAAACAACCTAAGCCCTTTCCAAGCAGCACTTGTGGCTCAGCTAGGAGTATCAGCTTCAAACAAAAATAGCCTCATCTCCCTAGGACTCTTCAGCACTTTTTTTTGGCAGGAATACACACACACACACACACACACACACACACACACACACCCCACAGATCTCCAGCTCCATAGAGAGTTAAGAAAAAAACAAAACAAAACAGAGGAACTTAAAAGTACTATCTAAGCCCCCACAGTTTCTCTGAGATAATTACAGATCTTGCGTTCTATGTCAAAAAAATGTGAAATAAAGAGTTGAAAGTGATAGCTCAGATTTATTCTTAGTGCCCTTAATGTTCAGAACATTCCTCCTTCCCTTATTTGGTTTGGGGAGGGTCCTGCAATGCCTACCAGAGGCAAAGGAGAAAGTAGCCTTAAATAATTTTCTCAAAGGTGATTCCCTATTTGTCCAAATTCACTTAGCAAGTGCAGTATCTTATATAGGGCTACACTTAAAATTGCAACTATTAAATCCTGAAGCTTTCTTCTGAAGTAGTCATGTTGTAGAAGATTAAGATTTCCTAAACATTGGCCAATAAGAATTGGGTAATGTTAAGGTACAGTATACTTGAGAACTGATGAGTTACTTACTGTCTTTGTGTTCTTTTCAATACCTTACTAAAAATAAAATATATGTATGTACCTATGCAGTAAAAGAAAGGGAAGGTGACATAAAGTTGAGAAATCTACAGCGAACATTTTATTAAAAGGTTTCAACTTTTCCCTATCTAAACTTTTTTTTTAAAAAGGATTATAGCAGCAGCTAACAATCAGCCAAATTGGCTGATTAGCATTTCACCTTCCCACTCCTGGACAGGTGTTAATGAGGAGAAAAATATTCAATAGCTGGTGGTTAGAAGGAGGAGGAGAACTAAAGGGCACTGGTAATCATAAACTCTAGCCCATACGTGAGTAATCAAGGATTGGCTACACTTTTATTTTATTCTCATATTCAAACCAATAAATGTTTGTAGTGTAATCTTTTAGCTTTAACTCGCTGCCTTTGGTTGTCAGGGCTCTTGAATTCATACGGTACTTCCTAGATCACAAAGCAAAGCCACATCTGTTATTTTCAAGTTTCTGGCTTAAAGAGTGTTGCAGCAACTACTTCCAAAGACATTGGCCTCCTCCATAGTGGTTGTTCTTTCTTTGTCTGCCTCCTCCATTCCTGGCATGATAGAAAGTGCCCTTACATCAGCCGTATAAATAAATTAGTAAGTAACTATCTTCATATACAAGGAGGAGACAATTGCAGATAACATTCATAATTTTAGACAAAGTCCTACCTCTAGGACTGGACTTGGACCCTTTGACTGCTGGTCTAATCCCTTTCCCAAGAGGTGAGATCTTGTTCCAGACGCTACCATCCGCAGGTAAAGGGATCAGAGCAAATTAGGCCTACCAAGAGGATGGAAAGATGCAAAATCTTCGCAGCAGTCTCTCGAGCGCTGGATTGGCCAGAAAGAGATATTCTAGCAGCAGAACTCTTCTCACTCTGCCCCCGAAAATGTCTCCATCCAATACTGTCCCAGTGCTTCTAATTTTTTTTTAAAAAGCACTTCTTTTTTTCTTTTTCTTTTTTTTTTTTTTGAGTTGGAGTCTCACTCTGTCGCCCAAACTGTAGCGCAGTGGCCACTCCCGGCCACCGCAGCCTCGACCCGCTGGGCTCTGGCGATCCTTCCACCTCAGCCTTCCCAGTAGCCAGAACTACAGGCACGCGCTACCACGTCCGGTTAATTTTTGATTTATTGTAGAGATGAGGTCTCACCAGGTTGCCCAGGCGGGTCTCGAACCCGCGGGCTCAGGCAATCCACTC